CTTATCAGCATATCAGACAAGGGTACACATCAGTATAAATTCCCAATTTCAAGTCTCAGACAAATTGATCAAACCTATAGACTCTCTCTTTTGACTCCATGAACAAGTATAACAACAAATAAAATTTAAGATTAAAGTTGCATGTTTTATGACATCACAGCTACAAATCATAGAAACAAATCTCTACAGATGAATAAACAACGGCAACAACAGCAACAACAACAACAACAAGAACAACAATTAGCCCGCATGTGGGCATGCAACTGTTGTAGATGAAATATATTTCATAAAATGTATTTGTTAATGCGGGCAGAAATGAATATTTAAACAGTAAAAATACATGACTATACGAAAATAAATATATACATCAGCGTTGCGAGATTAACTCTAAAAATTACTAAGACTTGACTTTCAAATGAATTATTTTACAATAATATGAAGTTGTTATTCATGTAGTAGTTACAAACTTTGACTATAAATCATATATCATATATATAAATCATTTATCATATATAGGTTTTTAATATATTTCATCTGATAACAATGAAGTATCAAAACTTAAGATCTTATATTTATATCGAAATATCATTATGCACTTTATATACAATATCAATGGCTTATTTTTAAGTATTCGAGAGTATTTCATGAACAAACTTCAATGGCAGCCCTCGGACCAACATATATGTATGGCATGTATACAGATATGTGAGACAGCCACAGAGCAAAATTCAGTAAAAACTGTTTTTTTCGGCCTACGGGGAAATCAGGAAAGCAAAATGCAGCTTGAGAGGGGGAAAGTATACCTAAGGGGTATACACTGTATACTGCAGAGAGAACAAGTGCATATAAGTTAAGCCGATTGCGTTTCCAGCTACGGATAATCTATATAAAAAGTGCATAAATATTCAATGATGCGTCCAGCTAATATTTTATGAACAAGCCAAACACAACTTTTGAATGAAGCCAAAAAAGCAAATACAGAAAAAGGCTTGTCATTCACTTATACATATTTTTTGGGTAGGCTGGCTGCTTTTATGTGTTTGATGAGTAAATATAGGCCGAGCAAAAAAAAAAAAAAAAAAAAAAGAAAAACACCCCCGCCTAAGAGAAATTTCATTTAATAAACCAATTTTTTTGTTGAACAAATTTTTTGAATGTTTCATTTTTTTCGCATTTTATTTTTTGGCGTGTCACCAAAATTACAAAGACAACAAATAAACATTATTCAACATGTTTATACAATATATATATATTATATACGTATTCCTATCGGTTTTTCTTTATTAGCAAGCTAAGCGAGCAGCAGAAATAAATTTACATTGAAAACAATGCAAAAATTATGAAAGAAATCAGTGACAAAATAAATATATATGTATATATACATATATTGAAAGGAGTGGACGACTAGGTCATACCCTGACATATTCTTTTAGCCTTTTGAAAGCGTCTATGTATATTTGCCTAATACAGTTTTTAGAACTTCTTTGTGAGACTACCAAATCTGTGTTTGTGTACCAAAATTACTTAGCTTTAAGAACCTCACTTTAACAGCCAAGTCAAAATTGACCAACAATTCAATAATAAATAAATAAATAATATATATACATAAGTATTTGTATACAAATATTTCTAATGAGTTTCTTTGCACATATATAATAAATATTATATGTGGGTCCTTAACTGTTTTCCGCAATTAAAAAGAAAATAAATAAATAAAGTGGAAAATATCGAAGTAAAAAATATTACTGTTCGTCTGGTAATTATGGTAGAGAACGTATATCCCTTCACAGTCTGCCTTTTCAATAAAAACAGTTATGCACGTGCAAGTTCGTTGCTTAAGTCATTCGTTTCGGTTAGGTTTATGATAGCAAATGCAAGTTCGTTGTCTAAGTCATTCATGTCAGTTACAACCATGACTGCTAAGGCAAGTCTCACATAAGTTAACTTAAGGAATGGCAAATTTAAGTNTATATACATATATGTATTTATATTTCCAGTTCAATTAAAACCCTGATTAAATTGTGTACACAGATTGCAAATAAGATTAGAAACATATAGACTGTTAATCAGCAATCGGGAATATGTATATTTTTTATAGCTTCGCTAATAATAAGATAGGGTAATTTTGTTGTTGGCCAGTAAAATAAAATGAAGTGTATTTCGAGATTTTAGCTCAATGTCAATGAACGCAACAAAACACAGAACAGACTTGGCAAACAGAACAAAAAACGCGGTATATTGGCTAAGAACGCGTGTGAGAGAGAAATACAAATAGAGATTCAGAGATATAATACAGCACACATACATTCACATAGACTATATATACATATTATACGCTGAGAACAATCTCAATGATTTGGCGAACTTGGCGTAGAATTGTCTCACTGCCAAAATATGCAAAGAAACAAAGCGCACACATACATGCATACATACACATACACATACAAAGATGTGAGCCCATATATACAGACGACAGCTAAACACGCTACACAAATTAGCAATTTGGCAGAGTTTGACAACCCGTCCTCCTCTCCGGACTCTCCACTCTCCCGCTCTCCCTGCCTCTCTTTTCGCAAAGAGAGCAAATAAAAGTGAGCGCTAAAACTGGAATTTGCAGGAAAAAGCAAAAGTTAATATATTTCAAATACAGAAGAAAAAAATTAAGTTCGTTTTCAACTGAGACTCCAAGCGACCAAAATGGCAATTGAAACAAGTTGCTAGACAAAACGAAAAACAAAGGTGTTAAACCCATTCGATTTATGGCATCTTCACTCTAGCTCCCTSTCTCTCTCTCTCACTTGAGTTTATTTACAATGGAATAGTTTATGTAAAAACATTTTGAAAGCTAATACTTTTTTTGCCCTGGGAAATGTAAATAAATTTGTTAAAATTCATATTTTACAAAGAGAGAAAGAGATAGAGGCTACAATCTTTGATGTTTAGTTTATATAAMAATAATTATAGTATATGTTAGTTAATAATACACTCTAATATATAATTTAGGGGTAACTTTGAAGGAGAATTAAACATCACAAGCTCAACACATTCGCTAATTAGAATCTACAAACACTGATAAGCCCCTAGCGATAGGTTGCGACCGACTGCGAAATACCCTATATAACAGATTTCAGAATTTAGAAAAGGCATCTGAATGCAAATTCCCATGATTGTTGACTGCTATTGGAAGAAGTACACAGGTTATGTAAACCAATATGTTTTTACTGTACTGTTATACCATCACTACTGTTATACATTTAAATATATTTGCAATAATTCTACTTGCAAGTTTGCTCGTCCTATAAAATTATATATTTGTATTTGCTATACACTCACAAAGTGTTATATTGTTATACGTTTACATATAAATTTGTTATTCATTTACTTGAAGTGTAAGGAAGTTCGTAATAAATGTTATACATTTATAAATGTTTTGTTTTGTTGTTAGCCGTTATACCTTTTCAAATAAACAGTTCTATATTTACTTAAACTCTCGTTTGCTCAGCATTTATCTTCTTCACTCTCTACCTCTGCCCCTTTCGCTTGCTAACCTGAAGCAGTTGCTCTCACTCTTTCACTTTGCCTGTCAAAATTTCTCTCGCTCTTTCTCTTTCTCCCTTTGATTTTGTGTCTCGGTTGATCACACGTGTCTAATTACATTAATTGGCCAAAATAAAAACATCTCCACTCGATTCGATCAATCGATTGATGCTGTGACTGTGGCTGCAGCAGCAGCAGCACATAAATAACGGCAAAATACTATGCATAAAATGTAGGTTAGGCTGTATTTGTCGTTTTTTGCCATATTTGTAGGGGCACGTTGAACTCAGCGCGCTTAGCGAAGCGAAGCGTGGGAGTTACTATTTTCGAGTAAACAATTTGTTTTGATTTTATCTCTCGACTTGCAAAACAACAACAGAGAATAACTAAATTACACTATAATAAAGTTGCTTATGAGTGTGTGTGTGTGTGTGTGCGTGTGTGCCGGCACACGCGGTAGCCAGCGAAAAGGCGCGTGGAAAATAGCAAAACAACAGACAAAAGCGAAGAAGGTAACAGAAACAACAGTTAAATCGCTAACAGCGCCGTCGACTGCGACGCCTTTGCACTCGAAATGCGGAAAGCCGGCGCGCCATTTACATGCGAGTGCAAGCGAGAGGGCTGATGTAACATTACAACAAAATAAGCAAAAGCAGCTCAGTCCAATCTATTTTTCCCTTCTCAAGAACCTTTTAGCTTGGTGGTTGTAAATACAATGTGAATGGGAAGCCAAAAGAAGCCACGAAAGACAGTGCACAAGGACTGCACAATTGGCGATTTGCCGAAAGCAATGCAAAGCACAGTATAACATTTTTTATTAGTTTGCACATATATAAATACACACACACATACATCTTCACATATGCGCGTACGATCCAAATGTAATGTGAAATTCGCAATTTTTTAGGTGACAAATTCTTTCGAGTATTTTTTCCCCTGCACGTCGCGTCGTTTTTCTAACTTACCTCACGCTTCGCTTTCTTTAGTTTTTTATGCTCCGCGTGCACAAACAACACTATATATTTTTCAGCTTTCACAAACACTAAATAAACTGATTAGCAATCCTTTGTATTCTTTATTTAATATTTAACACAAAAACACGAGCAAATTAATAACCGAGCATTAAAATGACTGTACGTCTATCGTGTACTTATTTTCGCATTTTTTGTTCAACCTAGAGATGGACGACCAACGATAGTCAACAATTGCCAAGGCATTTAACAGTGCTGTAATTGACTCAACAGTCTGATAAATAACATTTCTGCTCCACTCACTCCACACTCGAATAGGGTTGCATACTTTTAAGCGCATAAAAATGGTATTAAATTTATTTTGACATCTAAAAGTAGACATTTTTTGCAAAAACGCATCAGGTGTTCTGCAAATTGAGTGACCAGCTGTTATATGTCGAGTGTGACCAATTAATTCTGTTTTGGGCATTTCATTAGTACTTTTATACGCAACGCATTATGCGAACAGTAGCCAAATTCAACAACAAAGAAGACGAATTATTCATTTAAACTATACTAGATAGATAGCACAGTGATATAAATATATATATACATAGGAAAATATACAATTGACCTTGGGCGCTGTGAGGTGTGCGTCATGGCTAGCCCAAACATTAATTATCGCTCCTTGGCTGAGGAGCACGCAAATCCATTTCAAACAACAACAACAACAGCAGCGAACATAAAAACAAATTTGGACGACGCAAAAACATTTACAGCTGCTGCGCATTTAGGCGAACACGCGGATGACGAAGAAGATGGAGACCAGGAACACGACCACGAGCACGAGGATATGTCACACAATAGTGGAATTATGATACATATCGTTCCCGAAACTGGAAAAGAATCGCAACGCTGGAATCACATCGAAGATCTCGATTCCTTTTTCTCCCGCATGTACAACTATCAACAAAAGCATGGATTTCGTGTTATTGTACTGGACGAGGTGTTTCAGGTGCTGGAACTCGGGTTCGTCATTTGGCTGTTTACCTTTTCGACGCACTGCATAAAGTACGATGTGCTCTTTGGCAATAGTTTGCCCGAGCCTAATCGAACTAAAACGATGCTGAGCGACGTCTTTATATCGACGGGTGAATGTGTGTCCAAATTTGGGTTCTTCACCTATCTGACTATATTCCTGGCTGCCATATACCTGGGCATACGGCTGCTCAAGACGATCTATCACATAACCCAATACGCTGATATCAAGAGATTCTACAACACTGCCCTGGGCATCGAGGACAGTGATTTGGATAACATCACCTGGCACGACGTGCAGCAGCGCACGCGCAAGGTGCAAGCCGAGCAGCACATGTGCATCGACAAGGAGCTGCTCACGGAACTGGACATTTACCATCGCATTTTGCGCTTCAAGAACTATTTGGTGGCTCTCATGAACAAGCAGCTGCTGCCTGTCCGCTTCCAGCTGCCATTGATTGGCGAGGTCGTCTCGCTCTCTCGCGGCATGCTCTTCAACATCGATTTCATACTCTTCCGCGGACCTGGTTCTCCGTTCCAGAACAATTGGCAGCTGCGCGATGAGTTCGCCGTGCGCAGCAATCAAACGGAATTGGCCCAAAGGCTGTCGAAGCTGATACTGGGCGTGGCACTGGTTAATCTGCTGCTGGCTCCAGTCATATTCCTCTGGCAGCTGATCTACTTCAGCTTCTCGTATGCGAACATCTTGCGCAAGGAGCCCAGTGCCTTAGGTGTGCGCACCTGGTCGAACTACGGACGCCTCTACTTGCGTCACTTCAATGAGCTGGACCATGAGCTGGATGCACGCCTGAATCGCGCCTACGAGTATGCCGATCGCTATTTGAGCTCCTTCTCCTCGCCCCTGGCTGCTGTGATAGCCCGTAACGGCCTCTTCATAAGCGGAGGCTTGCTGATCCTGATACTCGCCCTGGGCATCTACGACGAGCATGTCTTCCAGGTGGAGCATGTGCTCAGTATTATCGCTGCCTTGACCGTTGTCGGCGTGCTATGCCGCACCTTTATACCCGATGAGAACCTCATCTGGTGCCCCGAGCAGCTGATGACCGCCATCCTAGCCCACGTTCACTACTTGCCCACCGAATGGAAGCAGCAGGCCCACACTGCCCACGTGCGGAGCGAGTTCAGCAACTTCTTCCAGTTCAAGGCGGGCTATCTGCTCAGCGAGATCTTCAGTCCATTCGTGACGCCATTTGTGCTCATCTTTGTCTTTCGACCCAAGGCCATGGAGATTGTTAAGTTCTTTCGCAGCTTCACAGGTGAGTTGGCTCATCTTTCTTTCTGCTCTATATATCACCATATATAACTAAAACGTTTCCATTTTCAGTTTCTGTGCGTGGCGTTGGCAACGTTTGCTCCTTTGCCCAGATGGACGTGCGCAAGCATGGCAATCCCGATTGGCAGATCAACAATAGCCATTTGTTGGATCTACCTGGTCTCAACAATGATCCACTGCATCAGCAGCAGCAGAGTTTGGCTGGCGGCAAGACGGAAATGTCGCTGGTGCGCTTCACTCTGAACAATCCAGAATGGCAGATGCCAAAGGAGGCTTCCAAGTTTATCAAGGGCATTCGAGAGCATGCCATCGATGAGCTGGTCCAGGCGAAAACATCGCCACAGACAGCGGCACGTGATAATCCGCTGATGCACAGCCTGATCTCATTTGGCAACATTGGCGAGGCGTACTCCTCCATAGCCAACTCTGTGCTGGCCGCCGATGTGAGTCCCGAGCAGCTGCAGCTCTCGCAGTCAATGAACGCTGGCCGTGCTAGCTTTAACAATCCTCCAGCTGGACTTGGAGTTGGAACCGGAGCAGCGGCTGCATCCGACTTCCGCCAGATGCTGCAGCAAAATCTGGGCGAGCCATTGAGCAGCATGAGCATGGGTCCAGGGGACAGCATGCGTAGACTGCGTCTTAGCAAGGCTGAAGGACGCCTCGAGGGACCAACGGATACCCTGCTCTACAGCCTGTACGGCGTGGAGCCACGCCTGGCCAAGAATCCGATTGGCGTCACCGTTGCGGATATGTGCCTTAGTGCTCTCTACTTGCACGAGCTGAGTCAGCAGAAGCGCTTGTCCCGGCAATCGCGCATCGAGGAGGCTGACGAGCGACCCGGTCCAAGTTCGAGGGGGCCACGCCCACAGGCACCGCCACAGCCGCCCACCGGATCGGCGGGCCACACCGTGATTACCTCCAAGGCGGCCGAGCGGACGCCGCTTTTGGGCAACATTCGCTCATAGCAGCGACCAGTTTGGATCTAATTGATAATATCTATGCATAATACTTATAGACTTAAGTAAAAAGAGAGAAACAGAAACTAAAACTAATACTAAAACTAAGCCTAAGCCTAAAACAGAATTCATTGTACTAACTACTAACACTACAAACACCCTCCCCCTGCTACTAGCGTTTAAGTTGTAAAGTGTGAGAAAATCAAACTGTGTGTGTGTAAATCGAAACGTAAATCGGACGATGTCTTAGTGCTTTAGCCTTAGCTAAATCTAAATACGAAAAGCAATAAATTAACTGCATCAACGAACCAATTGAAGAAGTGTTGCTTTCAATGGGTGTGGGAAAAGGGAGAGAAGTTAGACAGAGAGAAAGTTGAGAGATTCCCTGGACAGAACGAGAGTCAGCTCTGGAGAGGGTAGGGAAAGGAAATACAAATGAAAATATGTATAGAGAGATACGAGAGTTAAGGTAAGGAAATTCACAAGAGAATATGTATAAAGAGATATGAGAGATATAGAGTGATAGAAAGATAGCAGGAGTGGGAGACAAATAGTAAGAGAGTAAGGGACTGTGTGAGAGAGAGAGAGAGAGAGACAGAGAGAGAGAGAGAGTGAGAGGGAGGCATATAGAGATAATGTATGGGAAAGTAAGAGAGGGAAAGTGGGAGAGTAAAGAGTGAGAAAATCGAGGAGCAAGTCAGGGTGAAAAGATATGAAGCCAACAGGCAATCAACTATATAAACTCTCTTTTCCGGGAACTACTTCCAATGCTTCTAAGTGCTCTTTAAGGGAATCCTCCAACGAGATCATTCAGGCCTCTGTGCTCCAATCAGCCTTAATTTAGTTGTCACGCTGCCATCTCTAGTTATGCCGTTTCCATTCCCAGGAATTGTCGACACATACACACCTGCGCACACACCGCACACCTGCATACGTACACATACACACATACAGACATACGTATATCTATAGCTAAATAGTTGCGTTTTGGGTGGACGACGTCGCATCCAGCTGTGCAGCAGCGCCTCGTGTGTCAATGGCCACACACGAGCCCCATTTGGAGCTGGGTGTTGATGGCCAATGGCGAAGTTGGAGTCGATACATATACACAGATATGTGTGTGTATATACTTATATGTGTGTGTTTGCATTAGCATCTGCATCTGCATTAGCTTCCAGCTGCAGCTGAGCTCATGCGATGGCCAAGTTTATGAATTATGAGCGTGTCGCGTGAGATTGAGCGAGAGTTGTAGTCGGATCTCGCATGGTAGTTGGAGTCCAGTAGGAGTAGGAGTGTGGGGGCAGAGCGCTCTAGCAGCACTAGCAGCTCTTGCAGCTCTTTGGCTGTGTAGAACACGTTGTCTCATTTTTACGCTGCACGCCAATTTTGGGTGAAACGTGGTTGTACATTAACTGCCAGCCCATTTGTTAGAGTTGCCCGTTTTGGTAAATCTCCGCTATCACCACGAGCATCTGCCATGCCAGACTCTTACAGCTGGGCCTCCAGTTCCTCACCTTCAGCGCCTCGCGGCTGCAGTGCCTCACTTGTTGCATGTTGTGCTAATTGTAGCGATCATGTAGCTCTCTTGTGCGATAGCAGAATCGAATGCCAAATGTGAACGGACCATAATGCGTTAGCTATGAAAATAATTGCTTGATATTGATCTATATATATGTATATACACAAATATGTATGTATATTTAGTTATTTATATTTAAGTTACTCTATATGTTATATATGTATTCTATATAAATCTATATAAAAATAAGGAGATATATATAAATATAAATAAATATATATAGATATATATGTAGCATCATTAATAAGACATATCGGGTACTTTAAAAAGAAGACATAAAAATTAAATTTGATTTCGCTATTTTAAATTTTAAACTTATTTTTTCTGTGATCCAAATTCTCTATCAGATAATCAAATACAACAAATTTAAATATATGTGTATACATATGCATATATTATTTATTTTAAGTTAAATTTGATTTTAAATCACTTTGAATATTACTAAATAAATTTATTTATTTGTTAGCTACTACAAAAAAAAAAAAAAAAAAAAATATTTATTTTATCAATAGACATGTATAGTGAAGATTTTATATTGTATAACTCAATAGAAATCCGGATTTATTTTTTTATTTTTAAACACATTATTTTTATCGATTTAAATTTATGATTTCCTGCACAGTCATACGCAAAACAAATAAAAAATAAAAAACATATATATGTATATCGAAATAAAATGCAAATATTTGCAATCGACAGATCAGTTTTCAGCTACGCACAGCAGGGCCATGTCAAAAGAATTGGAAAGAAGTGAATGTCTGTCCATGCTGATATTTTTTGAGAGAGTGGACCCACCGCATGGCCGAATCAACCAGTTCGGGCGCGCAGTTGGATAAAGCCTTGGCCACAGCCAGATCGGCAGCTGCCATTCCAGCAATTAGGGCAGCTCCAGCCAGCCAGCCAGCCAGCCAGGCCAGGCCAGACATCACATCCATCGATCCATCCAGTTGGAGCTGGCCAGCGACGTGTCTGTATGTCGACTAATGATGATAGTTGCAGCCAGATCTCGGACGATCGAGTGTGAAGCATCTGCGTCCCATTTGATTGACAACTGATCAACGTGCAACGTGCTACGTGCAACGTGCCGACTGTCTAGCTTTGATGCTTGGAAGCTGTTGGCCAACGCTTTTGGAGGCATCCTTTTAGTCACGTAACTAGCCGCTAACTTGATAAGCTATCGATCTAGAGTTGTTTCTACCTGTATAAACTAACAAAGGGTAGCTTCGCTTGAGTCTATCAGTGTATGAGTCTATGACTCTATCTATCTATGAGTCTAAGTCTATGAGTGTATGAGTCTATGAATCTATGATTACATGAGTTTATGAGTCTATCTATCTATGAATCTATGAGTCTATGAGTCTATGAGTCTATGAGTCTGTGAGTCTATGAGTCTATGAGTCTATCTATCTATCTATCTATCTATCTATGAGTCACAGTCGATGAGTGTATGAGTCTATGAATCTATGATTCCATAAGTTTATGAATCTATGAGCCTATGAGTTTGTGAGTCTATGAGTCTATGAATCTATGAGTCTATGAGTCTATGAGTCTATGAGTCTATGAGTCTATGAGTCTATGAGTGTATGAGTGTATGAGTCTTTGAGTCTTTGAGTCTTTGAGTCTAAAAGTACTTGACTCTATCTATCTACGACTCTATGAGTCTATGAGTCTAATAGTATATGACTCTATCTATCTATAACTCTATGAGTCTGTGAGTCTATGAGATTTAGAGTCTATCTATCTATAAGTCTATGAATCTATGAGTCTAGGAGTCTGTGAGTCTGTGAGTCCATGGGCCTATGAGTCTATGACCCTATATGACTCTATGACTCTATGACTCTATGGGTCTATAAGAAGCAATAGAAGCGGTTTTATTGAATCATCCGTTAAGCATTCTCCGATTTGATCTTTACAGGGTATTTCATCAGCCTAGGGTATTTCATCAGCCTCACTTCGTCAGCTAACTGTGCTTTTCTTTTAATTTATTTGAGCCGCATTTCCGTGCAGCAGCTATAATTAAAAATATAAAAAGGAAAACCCGTTCGCCTTACAAATGGGCCTCTCATATGCGGTCAGATAGTTTAGTCAAATTGCAGACGCCGCGGCGAGGCAGGCCGATGGATCGTTGCAGATAGCCCGAAACTCTACGCTGCAATCCTCGACTGCTGCATTTGCAATGCAAATTAGAAACGGCAGCAACAGCCCCGCCCCCCTGCGGCTGCCCTCGTGCAGCTTGTAATCGAGCGTCGATTCAATAAAACATTTAAACATTAAACTGCTTTTATGCAAATTGCCAGCGTGCGCTTAATTTTCGATCCAGCTCTAGCTACCCGTACTCCTCTGCCCGTCCCTCTCTCTCACTCGCTCTCACTCGCTCTCACACTCGATCTTTAGGCATCCGGCTATGAAGATTCGCTTGAATTATCTCTAGATCGCATGCATGTAACACCTAACCCAGCCTCCAGCCCCCGAAGCACCTGTCGCTGATAACATCTAGAGTGGATCGTCTACAATTTAACTTACTCTCTCTCCCTCTCCCTCTCCCTCTCTCTTTCTCTTCCCATCTGCCTCCACTCCCTTTCGGCCTCTCTCCGTTTAATGGCAGTGGCTGCCTGGCTAATCAATAGCTTATCGCTATTAATCTCTGGCTTCGATTTACCTTTGGCAGGCAACTTTGCTACTCGTTTTGTAGCTGCTGTTCCTCGTGTTGCTGCTGCGACTGTAGAAAGTTGCTTGTTGGAATTGCCTCTGCTCGAGCCTCTATCTTTACAGTGGATTCTGTCTACCTCCCTCCCTTCGTCAGTCCTTCCCCTACGGCGTCAGTCAGCAGCGCGAGCTGCAGTCTTTCCGTCCTTCCTATCCTGATCGCTCCTTCTGCATCTCCTCTAGCTCTATCTCTGCCTCCTCGCTCCTTACGAACTTCTATCGCAGTCCAACCTGGTCCCTCCTTTAGCCTCTCCTTTGGGCGATCCCCCAACCTCTGTCCCAGCCTCTGATATTGATTTTGCTACAATCTGCTGCAGTCTCTTCCTCAGCTTCTGCTGGTCTCGGCTTTTGCTTCAGCTTTCCCTCTCTTAGTCTCTATCCTAGTAGATGCTACTCCCATTTGGCCCCTGCTACTTCAGCCTCTCTCCTAGTCCCTAACTAAGTCATTGCTTTTAGCTCTCCTTCAGCCTGCCTCCGATCCCCTCTTTCATTCTCTGTTCCAATCTCTGCACCAGTCACTGCTTCAAACGCTATCTCCGTCTCTCCTCTCTGTCTCTGCGTCCTCTGCCTCACTCCTCGGCCAATTCATTAACCATCCAATTGCTGTCGCCTGTTTGTTAAATCGCTTACACGACCATTAACTTAATTGGCAGCTCGGGTCAATTTAATGGATCGTTCGGGTCAACTACTTAAAGACCAAGAAGCTAGACTAAAGTGAAGGTGTTTTGGCTTGAGTGGAGCAGGTGTGAAAGGTCTTGGCTTAAGCTGTGGGCTCTTGAGTGCTCTAGATATTCAAATTTATTTATTTATTTAT